AGTGGCACATTGTAACCGCTGATGCGATTTTCAGCGGAGCTCCTCCTCCAATTTGTGGTATGTCATTTCAGTTTATTCTAACCTCTAAGGAGCTTTTTGTTTTTTTCTGCAAGAAATACACTCGGAAGGCTTGACATTTCCTAACGAAGGGCAACAGACAGCAGTTAGAAAAATTAATTTTCCATAATTTTTCTTTAAATGACCTACACGTATGTAGTGGCAACTGCAATAGAGGGTGGTTAGGATTACCTACCGTTGGGAGGGGATAGCAATGTACAGAGTCGGCACAGAATGAGCTGGGGAGCTCGGCGAAAACCTTCATCATTGTTCAGCGTAAAACTACAAACCGAGCCCATCGGTATATATAGTACAAACAGATTATTAGCGTTGTTGGCCTAACAAAAAATAGAGCAATGACGTAAGCAAGGCACAAATCTCCAGAGCTGAGTAAGATGTTCCAAACTCTATTAATTTAAAGATGGTCATTGAACTTATTACTGCTTCGGTTGCTTATTACTCCAATAACACCTTTTATTATTACATCAAACAAACCAAAAAAGAAACACAAAAGCAACGAATATTATCTACAAAGTGTCGAAATAATTTGCTACTGTCATGACCTGCATTTGAGTGGAAAGATTAAGGTCTTAAAGTGAGGGGGGGGGAGGGGGGGGAATCTCAAACCTTTCCACACACTACCGCTGTTGTCTCAGACAGCAGAGAGTGTTGGTTTTTTGTTTTGAAAATCATCATCATTCCATCATAAAACAATTGCGGTAAACAACAAAAAAATGTATAGCGCGAAATAAGACGGTGTTAAATGTGAGTTCCAGTATGACGCTGGCAGCTGTAACCCAAATTAAACGCAATTTCCCATAACGTAATTAAAATACTCAAATAATATGTAATATGTGCATATATATGTATGTATGTAGATGTAACTCTTGTAAATTTGCTGCTTACTTTATTTAACCTGCAGCACACGGCGGGGCATTCAACCGGGTGCACTGTTGACCCATTTAGCGTAAAGAAAAAAATTTAAATAATTTCTTTTTTTTTCTTTTACTGATATTTTGCGTAATACATTTGTTGTAATTCATTGTAATTTAGACAACTGTGGATTACAACAAAGCAAGTATTAAATTACCAACCGATTATGTAATACATTGTATTATCACATATTTAAATTGTTTTTTTTTTTCTTACTTTAGTATATCGTTCGGTATTTTTCGTGTTTTCTTATTGCATTCCTTTCTCGCAATAAAGTACTGTTAATTTTAAACTCATTAACGCGTAATTAGTTGCCTTAACTGTGAGATTATTTCGTACTTAATCTATACATCATATGGCTATTTTTATGTCATCTAATAAAAATTTAATACCAGCTGAGGCGGAACAATTTAAATATTTTCTTAACTGTAAGGATTTTTCATTTATACGAGGGTTTTTTTTATATTTCGGGAATAGAGCACAAAAACAAAGGTTAATCATCGAAAATTGCTTTGTTGTTTTTCAAAATATACTCCATTAAGTTTTATACCTGGTCCTGGTTTGACAAATTTCCAAATTTAAATATTCTATTTACAGGCCTATTCTCACTGTTACCAATAAAGTAAATTTTCTTACTTTTTTTAACACCCGAAATTGAATTTGGTATTCTGGCGAACTGGGTGCAATGTTTGAAAAAAATTTGGCAGCCCTGCTTCTTTCGTCCTTGTCAAATTACATTTGCCAGTTGATTAAGTAAAAAGAAAAGTATTCACATCGAAATGGAAGATGGTGCACAAAAAAATTAAAAAGTTTTATTAATTTAATTTGACAACAAAAAAAGTTAAATGAAGACGTAATCTTACAAATTTAACGGCTATTTTTTGTCTCGAAAACTTCTTAAAATACGGCTTTTTGCACTTTTTTCTTCATCTTCAATGAATTCCAGGCCTAAAATATGCCTACCCATTTTGATTTTTTATTTTTTCTCAAACTTACAATACAAAATCAAACAGCAGATATTTTTGTTACCTCCTATTTCGTTGGTAACAAAATTTACAGGGTAACAATGAACTCAGAATACGAAATAGTAACAAAATTTACTGAATGTTAAATTTTAATATCAAAGTAAATTTTGTTACCTCGACAGAATAAGCCTGTTAGGGTCGCTCCTTGGCAAGAAATGTGAAGGCTTACGAGTGTATTTCTGGCATCAAATGAAAGCTTTTCAGAAAAATCCATCGGTCGTTCAGAGGCTTTTAAGCCGCCTGTGGCTTCTTCCATTGCAAAAACATCAAAATTCACACCACTTATTGGATATTGGATATTGGGTTAAAATATACAACTATACAGTTTTGCATGCGTTTGATCCAATTGTCTAAGCATTCTGCGCACTCTGATTGAGATATTTCCACAACATGCATTCTGAAGGCATCAACCACTTCTTCAGATGTCAAAAGAAATTCTCAATTTATTTATTACGTACAAGAGCAAAAAGTCATTCGGTGCCAAATTAAGACTATGCGGTGGATGATTAATCAGTTGATGTTTTTTGTGCTCAAAAATGCAGTTGTTTCATTCGTTGTTGGAGAGCTCGCATTGTCGTGGTTAAGAGTGATCCGCGTTTGACTGCTGTTCACTTTCGTAAGTCCACAATTACTCACCTGTCACGATGTCATCGACGTGTTTCGAAACACACCATCGTATTTTTCAACGATTGACAAATTGTGTGGCAGGCAACGTGGGCAAATTTTTTTAACACTCAAAAGTCAAGCCAAATGTGATTTTGGAAGATCTTGACGAAATTCGTCTTGTAGTGATCTACGATCACGATTGAATTCACCACCGTACAAGCGATTGACAGTGATCCTTGATGGAGTTTCATCGGTAAAAATGTAAACGCGGGAAATTGTTCGCTATTTAATTTAGTTATTGAAATGAGTATTTTAAGTTAATGTAAACAACACAAATACCGTTAGCATGTCAAAACATTCTGAGTATGTATAGCATCTAAAGCTCTAGATACTTGGGTATTGAGCACTGTGCGCAGCTCGATAATCGCTCGATACTCGTTCGTTGCTCAACTGCTTAAATAATAGTTGGAAAATTTTCAAATTTCAATTTTGTTTTTCGAAATTTCTTTCGCATTTCAAAGAGTTTCACACTTTATATAAATGAAAAGCTCGAAGTTCTCGAACTCGGGCGCGAAAATTTTCGATCAATGAGCAATGAACGAGTGAGCGAGTACGAGTATGTACTACAGCTCAAGATATAGCTCGAGTGTTTTCGAACAGCTTGGGCAATTGAGCAACAAATACTAGCACACTCGTTTATTGTTCATTGCTCGAAAGTATTCGATCACGAGCTCGAGTAATTCGAGTTTTTCGTGGATTTTGAGCAAAACTTTTGCCTTTTTTCTCAGAACTTCTTTCGGTAATTTTAATTTTTTTATGTAAAGTTAAAAACTCACTGAAATGCTAATGAAATTTCGACAAGCAAAATTTGCAAATTTTAATATTTCAAAAATACATTTAAACAGTCGAGTGAGGATTGAACTGTTCGCGCGCTTATAACTCGAGAATGGTTGGAACGATTGGTTTAATCTGGGTTTTGAAGTTATTATTCGATTTAACTGAAATTTGGTACATAAAGGCCTTTTGCTTAAGTTAGCAAGAAGGGCACTCCGGAAAGTGGACCAAATTACTCGAAAAAATCTTATTTTTATTTTAAATCCCTGTTTTTCAGAAAGTGGACCGATCTATTTGAAAATTTGAATTATTTAAATTTTTTTATGAATTGAATACTTTTGTTTGACGGAAATAGAGCAGTAGCAAGGAACGAAGTTCGATTTGCTCCAAGCATAAATAATACTCTCTTCATGAGAGTCCCGACAGATTTACAAAAATTACTATGATTTGGATATAATAGATCAGTTATGGGCATGTTCGCAGCGCAATGATATTACTCTGCAGCTGCGGGTTCCAATTAATATATAACTCGTTTGTGTTAATTGGTCTGAGCTGCATAGTACCGTATTCGGCCGGTCAAACTCATCCTCCAATGTCCGTCTCGATGATTTTTTCCAATAAATGGACGAGACGAGCTCGTGTTTGCCGTCCCGTACTGCTGAGGACAGTACCCTATTTTTGGCTTGAAGTTCCCAATTAAATATGAAAAAATCTGGACGCATATTAAATTGTTTTCGAAATCGATTTGTATACATTTCGCCACTAATTTCATTATGAACTATTTCGCATATTTCTTTTCGCACAGTTTTGGACGTTTTTATAGTGACCTTCGTTAAAAAATATACACACATGTATTAAATTTAAATTTTTTTTTCTCAATTATTATGTAAAATGTGTGAATATTTAGGTCAGAAATTTTTTTTTATTATTTCAATATCGATATTGTCTCAATTTCCATCAATATTTTACAACGACCGCCTACACTCTCCCTTTTCGGCCATTCGCAATTGCCTTTTAAAGGAATTACATCATTTTGTAATCAACCACAAATATGTACATATTTACATATGTGTGAGTAAGAGTTTATACACATATGTACATATATATATATATATATATATATCATTTTGTTATGCAAATTTGCAACGGCCATTATTTCCATCAATTTTGGCAGCCCGGCAGCAGTCCGGCAGCAGCAAGACTCTTTCACGTCTGCGCACAGCGTGCTAACCTCAATTGGCAGCCGGCGCTATGGCCAATGACCTTTTATGTTGTTTATCCGTCAGTTGTTTTTGTTTTGTGGTTATTTATGAATTTGACCTGAATTACTTAGTAACCTACATCCTGCTTATTAGTGTTTAACATCGGTACAAATGCATGAATATGTGCATACATATAATATAATATAATTATATATTCGTAGCAGCTGAAATATTGCAATTAGATTTTTGTCTACGAAATTTCAATATATTTTAATTTTTATGTCAATCTTTTCTCCATCAATTCGCATTTTAATACATCTCCTTACCTCTCTTTTCTCCACAGTTTTGTGCCCTCGGTACACTCTCCCTGCTCACACTTGTCGCCGGCAAGGCGCTGATCGATCAACAAACTGCCGAATCGCAAGCGAATAGTGCCACCGTCGCCCAGCAACGCATCGGCTGGGATCACGATCAACATGAGGTGCATGAAGTACACGATCACCACCATCATGAGCATCATCACGATCCGGGTTTCTGGAAGAAGAAAGTCACTTGGAAGGAGGGTTGGAAAAAGATTTGGAAACCAGCCAAAAAGCAAATTTGGAATCCTTCTTGGAAACAAATCTGGAAACCCATTTGGGTGCCAGTTAAAGTGCCCGCTTGGAAGGATATCAAAGTGCCAGCGTGGAAGCAGGTGTGGAAGCCAGTGTGGAAGGAGATAAAGGTGCCCGCCTGGAAGGAGATACAAGTGCCAGATTGGAAGAAAATTTGGAAGCCAGTGTGGGTACCAACGAAAGTGCCCGCATGGAAGGATATCCAAGTGCCAGCGTGGAAACAAATTTGGGTGCCGGTTTGGAAGGAGATACAAGTGCCCGCATGGAAAGAGATACAGGTGCCGGAGTGGAAACAATATTGGACACCAGAGTGGATTAAAGTAGGTATACCCGGTGAGAAGTATCTGGGTAAAGATCCCGAAGGTTGGGAATACACAAGCCACGATCTGTGGAAAAAGAAACTAGTATGGAAATCACATTGGAAGAAGATATGGAAACCGGCGAAGAAACAAATTTGGGTACCCAGCAAGAAATTAGAATGGAAGGAAGAATGGAAACAGATTTGGAAGCCGGCTAAAAAACAAATCTGGGTAGATGATAAGAAATTGGAATGGAAGGAAGCGTGGAAACAAATCTGGAAGCCAGCCAAAAAACTCGTTTGGATACCAGATAAAAAACTCGAATGGAAAGAGTCGTGGGTGCAAATTTGGAAACCGGCGAAAAAACAAATTTGGGTCGAAGACAAGAAACTTGAATGGAAGGAAGCTTGGAAACAAATTTGGGTGCCTGGTTGGAAGGAAATTTGGGTGCCGGCTTGGAAGAAAATCTGGCGGCCTGTAATCATTTCTGAATGGTTCCCCACACCAGATCATCACGATCATCATCATCACGAGCATGCAGAGCATGGTTGGGATCGCAAGGACGTTCAGAATCAAGGTGGCAGTAAATTGTTGTGGAAACGCGACGACAAAGCTACACAACTGAAACCAGTCGCCACAGCCGATTTTCAAACGGCAAAAGCAACTGAGGTGAAAACATCCGCGGCAGTGGGTACACAACCCGTAGCTCCTGTGGCGTCGCCACCGCATGGCATCAAATTTCCCGGTGCGTAAATGAACGAAGTAACTGTGCACTTTGTTAAGATGAGAAAGTTTTTCTTAGGTTTAGTAGTTGAAAAGCCCTCCTTCTTCTACAAACATTCAAATTTGTAATGCAGCATTTAAAGCATTTAAAATCCGATTCTGAGAAAACTCACAAAAATATTAGTTCTTGATATGAGAGAATATTCTTCGTGGTGTTGAGATCTAGCAATTTTGTGAGGTCTTTAGAATTAGTTGGTAAATTGAAAGAAAAGGTGTACAAGTACAGTTAAATTAACATACATTCATTTGCCGTTCATTTGCGCACATTATTTGTTATTTTTGTAAATATGTATTCCAGTCGTTAGTATATAAGGCACATCACAAAATGCATTTTATTACTAAAAGTTATTTAAATTTATTTTGTTTAAGTTTAAAACTCCCCCCGCCCATTTTTTCCTGTTCTTCAACTCAAAACAATCATTTTCCATATTTTCTCTTCCACTTCGATTAAATTATTTTTGTATACCACAACACAACTATTATAACAAGTAAATATAAATATTTAATTTATACTTAAGTTGTTTCTGTTAACTAAATTTATTTGTTTAGCTTTAAGTTAATATCATAATTCTCATGTAAAATTCAATGAAATAATAAAAAATTGTTGACATTTTTTTATACAAAAACAAACATTTTCTATCAGCTTTAGTATTTGGTCTAGTAAAAAAGAATCCATTGTTGTTGCAATAGATGGCTTTAGTGATCTATATCTCAAATTCTATAAGATCGATTGGATTACGCAAGATGGAACGTTAGAAAGGTGATTTTCGCACTAAAAAGTAATGGTTCGATCTAGTTGGTCACGTATCCCAGTAGTGTTTGAGCCCATATCAAAGATGGACAGCAGAAGAGGGAAAATACGATTTTTCTACAAATTTTCTTCGTTTATGCTGAATAGGCAAGTCAGGCAGCGGAAAATGTGAATACTGTTTATGGTTCTGATATACTGTAACAGTCAACCCTGCACAATTTGGGTTTCGTAGATTTCGTTCTGGTAATTTTGATGTAAAATATATACCACGGTGGGGAGGGCCAATTGTCAAGAATGTCGATAAAACAATGGTAATCGTCGAGCCTGACCGTGATGCGAGTACTGCTTTCGATAGTTTAGAGCTAAAGTAAAAAGTAGGAACAAGAAAAAATCATTTATGGAGCAAATGGTGATGGGTAATGAAAAAATGGTCACAGCAACATCAAACGAAAACAGTCGTGGCCGGAGGGCAGTGCGACGGCACAAGCGATCTCCACGCCAGAATTGATGGTGAGAAAGGTTTTGTTGTGTTCTTGGTTTCATTGACATGTAATAAACCACTGCGAGCTGCCCCCCTACGGCCGGCCAAACTCTTGATTCGGACCAGTACTGCCAGCAATTGAATTGTCTGACTTAAGCAATCGCCCAAAAGGATCCAACGCTGGCCAACGGTATGTGAATTGGGTTTCATCAAGGAAAAGCCAGACCACACATGTCGATAGTGGCTCACCAAGTGCTTGGTGGTGCTTGACCCTGCAGCAAGTGATAGCCAGCTGCTTCTGCTTATCACGATTGATTTGGCTAGTGATGAATTTGCCCTCAAGAGAAGCCTGAAAAAGGGTTTTTATGAGATTCACCAAAACCTACAATTTAATGTTAAATTAATGGACTATTTTCCACGAGAGAAATATTTTGGAGACAAGTATGCGCTGAAATCTGCCTACTGCTTTTACGTTAGAGGAGAAGTAGATATGGAGCTTTAGCTCAATTCTTTCCTTGCTCTTCTTCTTTCAAGATGGAGTATGTGCAAGCTCCAGATTGTTTAAAAAAGTTATTAATATTCTTTATGCTACAACATCCACCACCTGGTTCGGTAGGTTGGTTCAAACGGAGAGGGTATGAACCAGCCATTGTGTAGGTTTGTGTGTTGATGTATTTGCCATTGCTCTAACTTGTTTAGTTCGCCTGCTGTGTCGTGTAAACGTCTGTTCGTGACGAGTACGAAAATGGAAAAATAATATAAAGAGAAACGCGTCGCGATGAATTGGGCGCTCTCACGCTGCTTGTTTCAGTTATTACAGGCGATGAGAGCGCATTTTTTCAATACGACCCGGAAACCAAACGCCAAGGCTCACAATGATTATCTCCGCACGCCCCCCGCCCGAAGAAAGCTCGCAGTCGAAGGTGAAAACGATGATTATTGCCTTTTTTGACAGCCGTGGAGTCGTCCACAAGGAATTTCTTCCACCGTGGCAAATCAAGTAAATCAAGTCTACTATCACCAAGGGAACCCATTTTGAGTCGATTGAGGATATCCAGGCGGCCGTGATGAGGGTACTCGCGGTCATCCCATTCGAAGCGCTCCAGAAATGTTACGAAGCATGGAAAATGCGCTGGAATCGTTGTATAGCTGCCCAAGCGGACTACTTTGAAGGGGATTGCAGAGATGTAGAATTACTTAAATGTCACATCTCGTATGTTGCCCCACAACAGTTTAGTAATACGCCCTACGTTGGAAGTGTCCCTGGAACTTAAGCGTTTCCTCACCTGCAGTGCTACGACCAGATTAATAAGTTGGTTTATCAGTGCAATCCACAGTAGATGAGACACGAGTTCTGTCGCAGCTGTAGGAAGGAAGAAGTGGAAGAGACCATCGAGCACTCCCTCTGGCACTGCCCAACCTTGACATCCGTGCGACACAACTTCCTTTGGGAAACATATCTTCGATTGTATCGCCGAGTTGGCCTCAGCGAACATTGGAAATCTCGTTGTCTTTATAAGGCTCACGAAATGGTTCGATCATTAGAGAAGGTGTAAGCAGGAGCCGCATCAACTCTGATACTGATCCAATCATTATATTCTTTCAATGTTTTTCGGCACAAAAGTTGTTAGACTGATTGGTCTATACAATTTTGGTAGAGAGAATCCTCTTTACTAGGCTTCGGGATCGGAATGATTCTGGATTCTTGTTACCTGTTCCGGATGTACGACAATCGGATGCAAGCTGTGTACGCCGAATAAAGCAAGTTTGACCTGTTACGGGCCATTTCATTAGTACTAGCTGCTTGGAATATCCGCCATTTAGTCATCTAAAGATTATCGATACTGTCAGTTGAATAACGAGCAAGCTTATTTTAGGCCACTTCGCACGTACTCTGCTTTTCCTTTAGAAACGGTCATTATGAATGGCATTCAGTCATTAAGTTGGAAGAAAATAAGTATGTCGACTGGTTGATGGACAAAGACTTTGTCCAAAGGGCTTTAAGTCTGGTTCATGTAGCCGTGGCATTTAATTGATTACTTTACGGTCAAAGAATCTGGAACGAAGAGGAAGATTTGGTGATTGCAGCGCTCAAAAACGAGAGCGATTTTCGTTGGGCGTATTTCTTAAATGAAAAGCCATAAATTTAAATGGGCATGAATGGTATAAATGTTTCGTTATGACCGAAGGCAGCTCTTCTTCTTCTTTCTTGTTTTCTAATGTAGAACCACCGAGCTTAGCTAGGTAGAATGAACATCGAAGAACCGGGTATACCAATTGCAGAACTCCTTTTGTTTCAAGGGAATTTATGTTTTCCCAGAGACCGACTTAAATTAAAATTTGCCACGCCTCTTCAAATTATATATGTTAAGAATTTTTTTTTCAAATTTTTAGTGAACTTATCGACTAAAATTCGTTATTTTTTAATAAATACTAAAGACACATAATCTACAACATTTTGAAAATAAATTAAATTAATAGAACTTAAAAACAAGTTAAACCACATAAATACAAAGATGTGTGTGAGTAAGCAAATAAATAATTCGAGCTCTACTCAAAAGCTAGTTCACGCACCCGCGAACGTCTCACGCCTTTCTTCCAACCACCATACATACTGCCACTGCCCTTACTCCAGTCACTGTAGCTTTTGGCTGAGCGTAGACCACTGCTGCTACTGCTGCTACTGACGCTAATGCCAGAAGAGCCATCAGCACTGCTCCCGCTACTACTCCAGCCACTGTTCGTGCTATCGATCACACCATCTTTGCGCACTTCCCAACCAGGCGGTACTTTTGGCAGCGGCACCCATTCATTCTGTACCAGCGGTGTCCAAACCTTCTTCCAAACGGGTATATAAATCGCTTTCGGTCGCCAATATTTCACCCAGCGAGACTTCCATTCCACGTTCCTCTTCCAAAAGCCATCAGCAGAGGGATCATGACTAGCGGTGTGTTGTACACTAATGTGGGGAAATAATGGAGAGAAAAAGTTGTTATTGTCTGTAAAGGTTTGCCTACTTTTAGGCATTTTTCGTTACTATACTCACACTGTAGTCTGTGAAGATGAGTGTGCAGTGCAGATTGTGATGAGTAGTGAGGTGATCCAGATGGCATACAGCAGGCACAAGGATGGAATTATCTGCGGAGATGAATTTAATTCAATTTACTTTTTCGTTAATTATTTATACTTTTTTATATATGTTAAGTGCTTGAAAAGCTGATTATCAAATCAGTGCATCGAGCGTTGCATTAAGGAAACATGCAAGAGGCAAAGGTCATGAAGGGAAGCATGTAATAGAGTTTTATTTTCAAGGTAATGTGAATATGAGTAAATTATGACAATGCTAATGCGTCAAAAGATATCGGCCCTCAATTTATCACAATACTCCAGTGTAATTCGAAATTCTGGGAACTTTGGTGATCTTTCTTTTCATAAAACAATATGCTATCACTGAGTTTAAGGGGAAAAGCTGGTATAGAGCGGAAAGAAACAGGCATATTTTATGAAGTTATTTTGACTCAACAAAGGAATCAATCGAAAATCTGTGAAATAAATTTCATGGTACAAATACAATATTTTTCGTGTGAGCTAATTTCAAAATTGCAGCTGTCCAGCATTTCTCTGAAGCTGCCTTTTTTTAAGGAGGTCCATGGCCGCAGGCATAAACTCCATAATTCTTGTTCTGGATCAAAAAATAAAATTTATATTTTATTATTAAAATTTATTTCTCTTTTGCATTTTTAAAAAAAGTTAAAATTTTCACTATAAAAAAGACATAAAATTGTTGATTAAAAAAAACTATTTAACTATAAAAAAAATCCTACGTACGTTTCTGGGGTACGGTATTTCGAATGTACTGTCAACATTTCGTAAGAATCGGTGAAAATTTGTTCGAGTTATGTCTTCGTCGTTTAAAAAAAGTAATTTCGAGAAAAACACGTTTCCATAAAGTTGTAACGCTCCTGTGGCATACCTGCCAGGCACTGCCGTCGAATGAAAAATTTGGGCATTTAGACATTTTTGCCAGTATCCATCTTATGGTATGTTATTTCTAAGACACTAAATCACCTTTTAAGACAAAAACAAATTTCTTTTAGATTTTTTCTAAATCCTAGAACAGCTTCCCCCCTGAAAGAGTTAGATAAAAAACTGTATCGAACTAGTAAAACTTGATGCGATCTAGAGCTTTTTCAAATATTCTAATCAGTTCACTTTTGTTTTAACTATTTCAAGAGTTTTGAGCTCAGACACTTTTTCTTAGGTATTTATCATATAAATAGTATTCTTTTCGGACACTCACATTCGATCCCATTATTAAAGTTATCAGGTTCTTTAAAAACCAATAGAGCACCGCAATTGCTCTTTGAACGATTCACTTTTGTCTTTAATTTGTAACACTTTTCACTTAATTACTGCTCAATCACTGCTCAACTCCTCACTCCAATCACCTCAAAGTAACATTTGATAATGAAGCGCCGCCACTTTCTTTTGCCTTTTTAAATACTTCTCCCAATTATTGTGGATCATACAATTTTACAAAAAAAAAAATATGTAATTGATTCAGCGCATGTCGATACAAAGATGCATTAAAAATCGTAGACAAATTTTGGGTAATTTGCATTATTACGTCGCTTGGAGTTGGGCGTTTGATCGAATGAGGCGAATACATGGAACTCCCTCAGTTGAATTATTTACATATATATTATACATATATATATGTATACCTGTGGATATGTTGTTAGTGGTCAGTTCGTGCTTCCGTTTTTTTTTTTCTTTCTTATAACGGAAACTCATTCATTAGTATGCGCGTCATTGATGCGCTCGCGACAATTGATAATTCCGCACAGGCTGCACATGGTGTGACAAACAGGCAATCGACAAGTGCAGTGGCAACAAGAGTAACACTGGTCCAACTCAAGCCTTGTTTCCTCTGAATGTTTTTTCAGTTATTGTCTACTTTTTTTTTGCTGGCTCTGATTATTTTAATAAAAAAAAAATACCAAAAATTTATTCATCAGAGAACTTCTTTCTATTAATCAATGTAGAATTATTTTTTATAAGATGATTTTTTGTATGAACGATTTTCGGTAGATCTCGTTACAAACTCCAGTCGCTGATAACGCCCTTCGATTGTTCGAAGATCCAGGAGAAAGCTTTCAGTCTGCTTCTCCCTAAAATCACCCATATCCGCCAAAGTTTACTTCAATTAAATGATTGTTTCGTTGGCCGTATGGCATGTAGCGCGGTCTTGTTGGAACGAAAGGTCGTCCACTTCAACCTACCACATTCTTAAGTGCCTGAATGAAAAAGTCTATATCACTATAACATAGAACATACCAAACAGTGGCTTTTTGAGGATGTAATAGGGATCTTAACAATTACTTGTTGGAAAATTGGGATCGGTGCTCAACTTGTTTTGGCTGAATTTCGCTGAATGTGCGACGCGTTTGATGATCGTTCGGCTTCAATTTTCACTCCAATTGTTGCGCTCAACGGTGGATGTACTCATTCGGCTCGATAGTCGATAGTCGATAGTCTGTTTCCCAGCAGCAAACTCGTTTTCGGTGTCACAAATACCTCCAAAAAAAGTAGAGCTACATTGAAAACCGCACGTCTAAACAAAAAATTCTGTTGGAAATAAATGTTGCTGTCTTCAAAAAAATTCGCCTCAATTTGTGAAACAGCATCTAGTTGTTTTGTTGACCAGTGTAATTATTGAAGATTTAAAGTTTTCAAAAAATGCCGTTACTACATAAAGGAAACTAAATAAAGTCAGTTGCTTACCTTATTTCATGTAAATTTAATTAAATTCGAATAAATTATTAATATCAATGTAAAAAACTCATAAATAAGAGATAAACAATAAAGTTCTAAAATAAAAGTCAAATTTTATTCGCCAACGTTTTTTCGGTTATTTACTTTAAATAATTTTTCTTTTTTTTTAAGTAGTCAATCAATGAATGTGCACTGAATACATCGCCCAAATAACAGCTTAAATCCTAAATGAATTTATTTTTCATTCAAGTCTCGCTCGAATGATGGCAGCGTCACAATAAAACAATTTGCACTTTTTAATTTATCACTTATGTAATCGAAGGTAAAAGAAAGTAAACCAATTACGTTATGAAGAGCTTAGTTTGGATGGAACCAAAGAGTGGTGCCCTACTGCTTCGATTGTTCGGCATAAATGCGTGATTGATCACCTCCGTCAAACAGTTTTGATTTACAAATATGTACATATATATTATATTGATTAACAGTAGAAAATACAGATTTTTAAATTTGGAGTGGGCAAGTAATATTAATAATATAAAAATCTATCAGCTGCTTGAAGGCGGCTCAGTATGAGCTGTTGATTCTTAAATTAGCTGCAAAAACAAGGATACTCATACCATAATTTGGAGGAGGAGGTCATTCGAAAATCGCTTCAGCGGTTATAAGGTGGCTATAATACATATGAGTATAATTCTTTACATATATAAACATAGATGAACAATGCTCTATTTATTAAGTCCAGGTTTTCTATGTAAAATGTCTATTAGACGAAGTGTGAGAATTAAGTAATGAGACTGATTACCTTCAAAGAAGTCCCCTTGGGCAGCTTTACAACGATCCAGCGCGTTTTCCATGCTTCGTAAAACTTCTGGAACATTGTGAGTACCCTCATCACGGCGGCCTGGATGTCCTCAATCGACTCAAAATGGGTTCCCTTGGCGGTAGTAGACTTGATTTACGGTTTGCCGCGGTCGAAGAATTTCCTTGTGGACGACTCCATGGCTGTCAAAAAAGGCAATAATCATCGTTTTCACCTTCGACTGCGAGCTTTTTGCGGGCGGGGGGCGTGCGGAGATAATCATTGTGCGCTTGGCGTTTGGTTTCCGGGTCGTATTGAAAAAAAAGCTCACATCGTCTGTAATAACTGGAACAAACAGCGTGGGAGCGCCCAATTTATCGTGACGTTTTGCTCTTGATTTCGTTTTTCCATTTTCGTTACGAGAACCACGTACAAACCCTTGCTCAACACGACACTGCAGGCGAACTAAACAAGCTAGAGCGATGGCAAATATATCAATAAAGAGGAGAAGGATTTCAAGGTCGCAGGGCTACCTTAATTGCAGCAATATAATCAGTCTCATTACTGAAGTGTCACACCTGGTAAGTAATGTAGGCGGCTTTTATATCCGACCTCCCAATGGTTCTGATTCTTTTTCTGTTTACCATAATGAACATGGCTTTTTAAATTTATTCAAATTTCGTGGCATTGTTAGAGTTGGAGTATGAAGTATCTGGGCATGTGTGGAAGTTTATGCAAGTTACGATAGTTTTTGACTGCCATTCGCTTGGGAGTGATCAAAAACGATTATTTTTCGTATATTTCTAGCAGCTCAGGTCTTCCGGCCTTTGCCGAAGTAACCTGTGGGTGGCGAGAAAAAAACATCCGCTTGGAGGCAAGTTGAAGGTGGTGCGAAGGATTTGGCAACCAATACATAAAAAAATAGACTCCAATGAATATACAATCAAGATTCGGTTGGGAGCTCTCCTTTTGGTAACGATTGCTACCCCTGAAAACCTTTTACGGATCGTGATTTCACCACGTGCACCTGAATTGTGGGATCCCTTAATTGGAATGTAGTGTAAAACTGTAGGAAAATTCAACCTTCACGACGAAACATCCACAAATGGTAGTACAAGATTTCAGCACGAGAAAATACATCAAGCTACTGCACAGTCTCCAGGAAAACTTAAAACCATAGCTATCATGATGCGATAACGGACGTCAAGTCTCCAATGTTCTTGAACTGCGTACGCTCCAACGATACAACATCAAAAGGGACCAATATATTGTAGCAGCAAGAATACGCACCCGCCTCTGAGCAGCAAAGCACAAGGAAGGTTTGACGTCGAAAAGTTGCATTACTACTCGACTTGCACTAATCAGCAACACAGTGTAAGAAAACTGTGGTACTATTAGTTTTGGGAAAAGTCGCAAAAACAGCTGGTACGTTGGGGTTTGCCGTGCGGCAGTAGAGTGAAAGCGGGTTGCCTACGGGACGACGAGAATTGCAGAGGGAAGCAAGACGCATGGAGAGGTCTAGGAGAGAAAGATAATATCATCTCAATTTATACCAACGGGTCAAAAATGGACTGCGAGGTAGGGACGGGAGTATTTTCCAAGGATTATAATATCTCTCCATTCGTCTACTACAGCAGAGAGAAGCAATAGACATAGAAGAGCCCGTGGTGCTTAATTTAATGACAACGGAAGCAACTCGCTGTCAGATCAACTCCGTTTAACTATAACCTAGGTTGCCAAGATATAGGAATATTTTTGGCAAGAAAAAAGCTGACGAATTTTGGACGAATTCTTCCTCGCAGTCTCAATCTACAGAAAATGTCAAGCCCTCCGAGTGTATTTCTGAAATGAAACACATACCACAAATTAGAGGTGGAGCACGACCGAAGTCCTAAAGTAGTGCATTAAAATAGCACATTTTGGGATCGAGATTGAAATCTTCTGGGCAGCACTCCTCACACCATACGACTTATAAATTATATTCACCGAATAGTGGGTTAAAAAAAAGAAGCTCTCACTAAAAGCAATTTACTGTGATACCTAATCCTCTGCTGTTCTTCTTATTGTAGCGGCTAATCTAATTCCACTTATGATCCTGCAAGATCAGTCGAAGTCATCGAGATCGTCCAACAGCAAAGAAGCTTTTTTGATGGGTTCAGACCAGAGCGAAAGAGGTGGTTAGATGTGTAGGTTTTAAGGGGCATTCAAAGGTGTATGCAAAGAGGTGGCTAGTGTCGTGCAAGGTATCATTGGATACATGTCATACGTTGGGTATGTCGAGTCAAGTCAGGTTAATAGGAATTTATTCGAGAAGAGTATCTAAATCTCAATTGCGCCTGTATTTACTGGGCGTACGACTGCCTCGTCTTTAGTGGGTGGTGATTAGGTTCCGGGGACGCCGTTAACGGGAAGAGAGTTCGAGAAGCTGTTAACAGATATTCCTCTCGTTTGTACCGGTATCCTTTCATGCACTCAATCGTCGAAATGTCACTGACCTACTTTCCATGACTCCAAAATGATGACACAAAAATAATTATTTTCTTTATAAATCGTTTTATTTATTTTCTTTTCTTGTTTATATGGGCTTTTTAGTTTTTTTTTTATTTGTAATTTTGTTCTTTTTACGCTTAACAACATGCTTTCGTGAGTATATACATCACACATATGGGCATACATATGTGTATGCTTAAATTTGTATGAATATTTTCGTTATATGTTATGTATATGTATGTATATTGTAAAAAAATTGAATTCCTCATAGAAAATATTTAAAGTTAATCAATTTATTGATGCGTTGCGCTTTTTCTTACAACAAAAACAAGCCTAAACAAAGCAAATTTACATTTATAAATATGAGAAATATCAGTAGTGTGATTTTCATATAATATTCAAGTATATATGTATGTGAGTATATGGATATAATCTTTTGTATCTAAATGGCTGTGCATATGTATGTAACAAACAAGCAAGAGTATTCTTTTTTTTTATTTTAGTGATATACATACATAATGATTTTTGAAATTTGATCAATTAATTCTGCTGTTATTATGCTTAATGTATGTATGTATTTGTTTGAGTATAACACGTGCTTATGTATAATAAATATGTATGTTCGTGCGTATAAATTTAGTTTTAATAAGTTCATATAAATTGCAATATTCACTGCTAGAGACATACCGATTAAATAATGATTACTACATTTCTGATAATTTAACAATAATTTTCTACTAACATACATATAAACATTTTAATTTTTGCCTAACAAATATGTATTTATTATAAATGTATGGTTGTGTGTTTAAATGGAACTTTGCGATTACATGTGCAATGTGTCTGTGTCGAGAAGGCCATAAAAGCTGTGGCTGAATTAGCAAAAATTGAGTTTTGACAAATGAATGCGCTACACTTTTAGTCAGCTGCTCTCACAGGTATGTGAATGTGTTTCAATTTCGAAAATTCTAGCGAAAATATGCCATAAATTTTGTTTTCGAAAGTTGCGTTTCTATGCCCCTTCGGCAGACACAGAGCTAGTTTGCATTGGAACAAATATTGTTTAGGCTTTTTTCTTTCTACCATCTCTTCTACATACTTTCCCTTACAGTTCTCCTTAGTTTAGTTTAAAGCTAACATTACAGCATAGTTGTTTTTATTTATTATTAAATACTTTTATATACATATATACGTTAAATTAGTTGTCTAACAATTATTTGCATTTCTACAATATAGAGATTAATGACGTAAGCAGTACGTAGTACATTTAACGTTTACGCAACTTATAAGTAAGTACTAAATATGTTCGTATATAAGTTTGGTTAGAGTATAATTAGAGTATTCGCAAAGCGCTAAGGCAAAATATGATATTAATTTCTTAAATCGTTGTATTTTATCTAATAATAATATTAACAAAATATCGAAATTTAATTTTTTATAATAGTTTTTAAGTTCATCGTAAGAAATTTATTGTTTATTGTTTTTACAAAAAAAAAAAAAATACTTCTTTTAGGCATTCTAACTGAACTGAGTAATAAATTGTTGTAGCTTATATTTTAAATTAGTAAAATTATTAATATCTAATTGGCAGTTGCAAGTCAAAAAGCTTAGGATAGACAAATTTATATATGTCTGAGAGCCAAATATAATATTTTTTTTTGCAATCTAAGCCAATTTACTGAGTATTTGGAAGAATAGATATTTTCAGTTAAATGTTTATAACATTGAGGTGCCGCCACACGCAGTATCAATTTATTTCAATTTTTTTTTTTTGACAGCGTGAAAATTGCTACATCTGACGGCATCTTTAAACTTTTGAAAAGCGTTTGTATGTTTGGATATTCTTCACACGTGGAAATCGCCTTTTACAGAACATAAATATTATATAACAGATATGTATATGAATTGAATATTTCTGTTATACAACAAAGAACTTCTAGAGTTTTTCAAAACAAAAATATTCAATTCATACACATATCTGTTATATAATATTTAAAACTTATAATAAGAAATATTTAATTTTATGAAAGCCATTTCAATACGCCAATGTAAAATTAATGCAGTCGAGATTTCACGACTTGTTTTCAACACGCTCAAAAAGTTTCAAATTAGTTTTATATATATTTTATAGCATATTTTTTTTTTACATTTTATTGCATATTAGTAGAAAAAATAAAAAAAATATTCAATTATGCGATTAAAGTTTCTGAATGAAAAAATAGAGTTGAGATTCAAAAAAGAATAATTTTGTTACTTTATTAATCTTCATAGATTTGTAATTTAATGTAAATTTAAAATACTTTATATTTTTCTGTATAAAACTAAGTAAGTTGATTTGGAACTGAGTAGAATATTTGAAATTAATCTTTTTGTTTTCAAAAACTAAAGGTGAAATCTAGGCAAACAAAAATCATTCATATTAATACTAATTTAAGGAGCTCAATCAGTGTGAACTTCGAAAAATCAATTATTTTTTGTCATTCTCAGAAAACATACATCGACCTTAGATGTGTAACTGTTATAGTTTCGGAGTCATTCTAAAACGCGTGATATCAGTCATGTAGTTTTAAGTTTTTTTCTTTTTTTCCAACGCACTATTTCAGGGAAAAAGTGGCATTCAAATATTTTAATCGGATTAAAATAGTAAATTTGGCATCGAAAATACCGTCATATTTTTAAGCTAAATTTTAACTCATTTTCAAGACAACGTAATTTTTTTGTACCTCAATCGTGGGTCACTTTATAGTTCATACTCGTACTATCCTCTTTAATGCCTTTTTTGTCTTTTTTCATTCCCACTTGCTTTTTCGGTCCTCTGCGGGATAGCGCATATCTTGTCGTGAATGCAAAATTTCCGTTTGAAAAAATTTGTAAGGACACCTTATGTATAAACAAATATACTCTTGATACTGTAAAACATTCAATTTAGAAGCTTTTTTTTAAAAAAAAAAAAATAATTAAAAATCATCATTTTTGCTGTCACACTGGTTGAACCCCTCATTTGAGTTTAATGAGAAAATTTAGAGTATTTAATTTAAAGTTGTTTTACTGTGGCTGCATTGAAAAAAATATTTATATTTTTTGTAATTTAGTGAAGCCATAAATATATAAATATGGAGTGAATAGATTGAGTCCTTTTCTACCTGATTACAAAGTCTAGTGCGTGCCTAAGTGATTTTTTTTTTTTCTAATCAAGAAGCGACAGGCAGCGCCAGTTTTCAAATTTAATTTGGAATTTCAATATTATACTTTGATTACTTCATTTAACTAAATTTAGTTTGATAGTATTAACAATATTTTTTTCCAAACTTATACATCAAAGCTCGTCATGACTTGCTTCATTTTCCTGCCAACTTTTTACAAGCACCTCTTCGTTTTATTAAATAAGTACTTAATGTTACAGTTAAAATGCCTTACAAATATTTTTTTTTTTTTTTTTTTTTTTTTTTTTTTTTTTTTTTTTTTTNTTTATTTTTTTTTTTTTTAGAAAATTTTACAATACAAAACAATGTTAATTATAATTATAAAAAAATAAGAAGAAGAAATTTGCATTCGTTTTGTTCCATTGAGTTTCCAATTAATATCCTGAAGAGTTTCGATTAAAAGTTTCCATCGTCTCTTGCATTGAGTTCGTTGCGTCCGTTTAACCGGACATGTAATCAGTCTTTAAAGAATTAATTCGTTTTTATTGTATGTGTTTTGGATGATTAACTGCTTTCATATTTAAATAAATTTTACTGCTATCTCTTTTGTAAAACTATTTTTTTTTGCATTTCCTGTACGTGGAATTATCAATGTGAACAAGTAAATGAAAGCAATAAACATTAAACACGCGCATTGAGTATAAAATGCCAGGTCACAACAAAAGCATAGCAGTAAAAAATCCATTCTGTAAGCAGCGCTCTAGAAATCGATGTACTTAATTGATAAACTTAAATAGCTAAGCTGCAATTTCTTTCACTCAAATGACATTAAATTGATGGGCAACGGCTTGGGTGCACTGCGCTGCATGGCCACCTTACAAATGGTTGTTGTCCACAGTTGTGTCGCCTGCGCGCTATCCGTGCGAAACTTATATATCGTGCCGAGTGTGCGATGATATAATTCAAATGAGTTTTTATGTTTCGTATTATCGACGACTTGTGCAAACCAACCGTCTAGCGGACACACTTTGCATGGTTCACGCTTGAAATCGCTACGCTCGCTGCCCTTAAAGGACTTGGGCGGAAAGTAGACCAGTGAATTGGCCCAGATTTGCAGCCAATAACGTTGCCACGAAGCCACTGCCGGTTTGCGTCCTTCCTTTTGCACCGTCTTACGTCGCACACAACCCTGTATGCAGTTCTCTGGATCGGGTGTTGGTGCATAGATTAGCTCCAGCTCGCTATTATGGCAAAGTACACCTTCAACGCTGTCATTCGATGTGGCATCACCGCTACTTAACATATTGCTACTATGCTCCAATACGGAATCATCGAGTAGGTGGCGCGCTTGTTGTTGACTCAATACGCTGTGGTCGTGCAGATGATGGTGCTCATCGCCATAGCCGAACATTAACGCTGGATTGCCATAGTTTGCGTTGTCGTTGTGTGTATGTGTTATTTTTCCGAAAATACTGAAATAGAGTGATTGATAGAGAGACAGAGAGAGGCAGCAATTAGTTAAGTCTCTTAAACTTTAATTTAGATAATTTAAGTAATTTTAATGAAAAAGTGTATTTTTTTATATTTTTACACTTTCATTACATTTAAAAACAAATATTTTAAACAAATGTAAATTAGATTATTCTAGTCGAGGTCTAGTAAAAGGTAATACTTGGCTTCAGTGATCTGTATATGTCGTCCTTTAAGTGCAATTGGATTACACTGGGTGATTACAAAGATGATATTTTGTACAATACTAAAAAACTACGACGGGCTAAGCGTTTATAACCTAACTCCGTTTGAGCGCATGTCAAAGATGGATCCAGCAAATGGGAAAATAAGCTACAATTTTTCTTCGATAAAGTCAGGCAGCTGAAAATGAGAACATTGTTTACGGTCCTGCTACAGCAAAAGTCAATCAAGCACAATTTTGGTTTCATCGATTGTAAATCTGTTGCTCCACGGTGTGGAAGGTCAATTGTCGATAAATTAATAGAAATCTTCGGGTCTGACCATCATGTGCGCATTGTTTCGATTGCCAAGTATCTAAACATTACTGGATACACAAAGAAGCTTGACGTAGGCATCTGCGAACCGCTGCTGAATCTTAACAAAATCAACCCATTTCTGAAGCGTTTGATGGCTGGTGATGAAAAGTTGATCACTTGCAGCAACGTCAAACGAAAAAGGTCGTGGTCGAAAGCCTGTGAGCCGGTACAAATGCTGCCCAAGCTAGGTTTGACAGTCTGGAAAGATTTTTTGTGTGGTTGTTGGAATTTGCAAGGAATTATCATTCACTATGAGGTGCTCTCCCACGGCCAAATTCTTAATTCGGACCTTTACTGGCAGCAATTGGACCATCTGAAGGATGCAATCGCTCAGAAGCGTCCCGCTTTGGCCAAAAGGAGGGAATTGTGTTTCATTAGGACAATGTCAGACCACACACAACGATAGTGACTCGCCAATAACTTCGAGAGCTTGATTGGGAAGTTCCATTGTATCTACCTTATAGTCCGGATTTCGCAAAAGGTGATTACCATCTATTCCCGTATATGCGATTGTTTTGGCTGGCAAAGAATTGATCTCAAGAGAAGCCTATTATTCAAACTTTTCACAATTTGGACAAGGTAGGCATAGGAAAGGGGCATGACCTTCAAAATGGCAAAGAGTTATCGAGCAAAACGGAGCATAGTGGACACAAATCGGATAATAATTAAGGTAATTATGTAAATTAAGCCTTTAATTTAATGCAAACATAAATTATTATTTTTTACTAGACCAATAAAAGAAAAAAAAAAATAAAAAAAATTGGCATGCAAAAGTGGTTTTGCAATGAAATAAAAGCTATATGAAAATGTATTAATTGTTTATAATTAAGGATATATATGTATTACTTTTTTATGTATGTATTTTATACTTGAAAGAAATAATTGTCTGCTTCATTTTTAAGTTCTAAAGTAAAAATAAAAATCGATGGAAAAAGTCTACGAGTATACGCTATAATGAGTTGAGCTGAGTTGATGCGGCTGCTGCTAGCACACTTAGGCCAATATACCCATTGTGATACCGCTGAGGCTCCTGCTTCAGATGATCGAACCATTTCGTGTGCCTTATGAAGGCAACGACATTTCCAATATTCGCTGAGGCTAACTCAGCGAGACAATCGAAGAAATATTTCCTAAGAAATTTGTATCGCAATGATTACCCCACTATTTTCCCGTGAAACCCAATTAAAGAGAAAGGAGAAACGGTCTGGGAGGATAAGAAGTTTAGATTTTTTCGCGCCCAGCTTCAGCCATAGCTGTTTGGTCACGTTACACGTGATGTTGTTCAGTTATCTTGAGTCAGCTTCTATGGTAAAAGAGAGTTTAAGCTTGTGGTTTGCTGTGAACAGAGGTAAGCCAGCATCGTGTATGTGCTTTAAAGTGAGTAGAAGGGTTCCTTCGTCCGCAGTACAGTGCTATATTTAGTAGTAGTAAGTTTGTTGTGAAAGTTCCATTTTATGGCCACTTTTGACGTGATGCCATTACACTGGAGAGATTTGATTACAGCTTGACTGTTCGAAAATATTGTAACCGATTGTTCTGCTGCCATAGATTTATGCAACCAATCAGTAGTCTCCCTGATTGCAAAGAGTTGCGCCTGGAAAACGCTATGGTGGTCTGGTAGTCTCATGCTCACATTCAATGAAAGCTTGGGAGAACAAATACCGCAACCCATCCACCTATCGAGCTTCGAACCGTCTGTTTGGGATTCTTGTGGAGAAACGATTTTCGAACATGCAGGAGCTAGTGTAGTATAGCTCCTTTGGCATTTCTTATAGAGATAATATTTTGGTGTGTCCTACACTGCAAATCTTTTAAGGTAGAGCAGCATCTACCGATGTATAAATCCAGTGCACGATATCCGGTCTTTCCTATAGCCATTTTGCAGGCGTAAAGTGCAGTTATAGCTTTCCTTTAACTTTCAGCCGTGTTCCTGCTATCCAAGATTATGCCGAGATACTTTACCTCGGTAGAGAGGGTGAGATCCACGCCCTTTAGTTTAGGTAGCTTAAATTAAGTCGGTTTGTGCCTTTTGGTAAAAAGAACAATTACGGTTTTATCTGGATTGACGCCTAGCCCGCTGTATACGCAATATATATAGGTATATACAAATATATTTTTAAACCTTTCATTAAGATGTAGTCCTATCAAAATTTATACCAATATGATATGAATGGCGAGGGGAGTTCATTTAGCTATAACCGTCTGTAGTATCTATCTATTCGACTCTATAAACGCAAACTAGGCTCTCAGGTTTGTAACATATCGATTATTGGACCGAACTGGCCAGATCGGTCGACTATAACATGTAGGCCCCAAACAACGGACCGGCCCCTCACCTGAGACGGACGATATTACATTTAATTAAGATAAGCTTGTGGCAGTGTTAGCAGTGTGTACCACCATTCGGAGACAAGGGTTCGAGTCCTAACCAACATTCAAAATTATAGAAAATTAAGTTTTCTAACTGCTGTCGCCCCTCGGCAAGGAATATAATCTTCTCAGAGTAAATTTCTGATATAAAATAAAAGCTCCCTATTTAAATCCATGAACTGTCAAGACGCATACCACTGTAGGAGCAGCTCGGTCAAAAATCCTTTCAGAGTTTACAGAGCGCCAATTATACATTATATATGTATATACAAATATTAGAGATTTCAAATGGGACTGGCTATTTAAAAAGCCAATTAAAAATTAAGTTAAATTTTCCAATTGCGGTCGCCCTCGGCAGGGAATGTCAACCCCTCCGAGTGTATTTTTGACATGAAATAAAGCTCCTCATAAGAAACCATCAGCCGTTCGGAGGCGGCTTAGTATAAACTGTAGATTCCTCCATTTGTTGGAAAAAAATCAAGACGCAAAACCACAATTTGGAGAAGGAGCTCGGCGGAAAAAATCGCTTCAGCGTTTACAAAGCGTCAAATATATATAGTGGAAAATTTAATGGATCTTGGCGTGTTTCTAAGAGTTTAGGAAATTATTTTAACTCACAATAATGCTTGTGGAAAGCTCAGTAGCGAGCTAAGACTAGTTTTATAAGTCAATATATAAAGAGCACGAGGAATCTAATAAAACTAAGAAAAAGAAAAAATCGAATTAAAGAGTTTTTTAAAAATTTTTAGGAAAATAAGAAGCATCAAGAAATTATTATAATTAATTTTCTAAAGTATATATGTAAATAACAAAATGTGGTCAACAAAGCTAAATGGTATTATAATTTGGAATACGAACAACGTTACGTAACAATTACTTCACTCACCGACTGCATCTACAACGCTTATTCGAAATGGTGCCAATACCAGGTGCGATCATCAAAATAGAGCACTGACATTTGTGATAGAAATTTCGCGGCAAACTCGTGCTACGAAATCTGCCAGCACAAACGACGATGCCAAATAAATAAATCAGAAAAAAAATGAAGGATGGTTTGGCAGCGCGCAAAATTTGTTGTAGTTTGTTTGAAATATGTTTTTTTTTTGTTTGCAAAATATGCACGCGACGATTATTATATGTGCGTATATAGGTATTGTATGTACATCCAATTGCATGAAATTGTGATATAATTAGACAAATACAAAGAGAGAGAAAGAAAGAATGGAAGAAAGAACATAATGACGGGTGTTGATTGCGTTGCAGGTGACAGATGTTATTAGTGAGAAGGCATTTTAAAAGAAATACAAAAAGAAAACACAAATTTTCAAATTACAAGTGTGATAAATACAAATACAAAGTACTTTTATCATTAGCAAATACTAGTATCTGTGGTTAATTTTCAAATAGCTAATTGATATTAATGAATGGGCTTAGCTATTAAAACACACCAGGTGGTGTGCGCAAACTTACTTAGTGCCCAGACTGCGACATTTACGATGGCCGGGTATGAATTTATTGCCACCACTATTGGCGATACGCATAGAACCGATTGTTTTGGCGGGTGAGAGATTCAGGCAAGCAAGTGCAGGTGTAATAGCGTCGATATTAAAGGATTCCTTCGAGCTGCACGATGACGAACTGGGACCGGACGGTGAGGCGGGCTCCAATTTCAAGGATTTCCTAAAATTCACATACAAATTGAAATACAATTAGTATAATTAGTTAAAGGAAAACCAATTTCTTTCAACTCACTTGTATTGATCCTCTTCGAAAATATTCTGCAACTCCTCAATATAACGTATCGAAGTCAAATACTTTTGTGTTGCCTCAAGCGGCTGTATATGCATATAATCGGATTGTTGATAATTGGCAATAACGCGCAAAATATTATTCATTTTATTACGTCGCTGCTCCGGTTCAAGTCCACCTTTATGGGGATGCGCCAAATCGATGTAGATTAAATCTGTGAGAAACAAACCCAAATAGGGTATACATGGCAGGCGTAAACTCTCCAAATAGGCACGTAAATTCTCCCAATTATTTTGATCGCTGAATATATCACTCAGTCGTTCAAAGGCTTGTCGATCCTTTTTGGAGAGACAGGCCCAAGTCTTTTTCAAACGAAAAATGCTGGCACTTTGCATGGCGGAAATAATGGCAAACAGTGAGTGTAGATTGTTGAGTTCGTGCAGTTTTTTCGACACCTAAAATGATGGGTATAGAATTGGATTTTTATATTTTAAAACATCTTTCACAAAAAGAAAATCAAATTAAATTGTTGTTGAAGGGTGAGTGGGTGGAAAAATTTGACAATTCTTGATTCATTTAAAAACGTCATGATACACTCTGGAAGAGGAACATAATAAAAAATTGCTTAATCGGTTATAAAGCGCCAATTACAATCTTTATATACAAAATTCTTTGTCCTGAGATCGATATTTTCGGGAAAGTCGTATTTAGAATTCAATATACGTGTATGCTCATAAAACATGGTACAGAGGTAGCCTTTTGCCTAGACTAATCCATAAATAGCTTTTAATTTCTGGAAGTATACCCGTGACCGATCTTTTCTAAACAATTCTTGCCTTTTCTGTCGGGAAGTGGATAGATCTATTTGCTTGTGATAGCGCTTAGTCTATATTAATATATGGAAAACTTTTTCGGGAAGAGGACCATAAAATAAAATCGTTTTTTTTTCATTATCTTCAATATTTGGAATATTAATATCATTTGGCCCGGAACCAGGCACCGATATATTCGGAAATATAGTTTTTATGGTTCGATCTGTTTGATATTTGATTAAAAAAGTGTTACATGTATTATAAAATAAATTCAAATATTTTAACATAACAATTTGTCAGTTAAATAAAATAAATAACCAAAAAAAAATTGAAAGTCCATTTAGAACTATTTTAGAACTTTATGAGGTCCAAGTAAAGGTAGTAATATTACATAAGATATTCTCAGTTCAAGAATCCTGCACTGGCACTCGAAAAAATGCTCAAAATCGAACTTAAAGAAATCGAAAAAGTTCTTAATAAAAATTAAAGATGAAATGAATTTTATTTTTCTTTGTAACCATCAAACAGCTTTCAATATATTATCGCGGGTAATCGAAAACTTAATAAAATTGAATACAACTATCGGCACAGAAATTTTGCCTGACATCTTAATCTCTATCTTTCGAGTCAATTTAATATATTAGGAAAAGGAGTCAACAGCTACTGAACGCATTGTGCTCTTAAATATTATTTATCCAAATCAAACATGTCTAACATAAGATAAGAATGAAATTCAATTTGAAATCTTTGCGAATACGTTAAACTTTCCATCATTTTCAGAATCAATCGTGCGTTTGTGAAATATAACCACAAAGGCCCACAACCTCACCTTAATGAAATGTGTCAGTATTTCCGCACGTTGCTTGGGCTGCTCGCCGCTCAATATCTCCTGCACAGTCCAAAAGCTGGTGTGATTGAAACGTTTCGTAAATGCAACAATATTCGGTGTGACAATGTGTTTATCCTTCTTCGTCCAGGCACAGCTGGTCAACTCATCCGGTTGGATGGCAGCAAAAATAGGAAAATCCAGTAAGGTAATCTGATTGGCCAACTCATCAGCGGGCACCCGTAGAGCATTCAATATGACGGCATCTAAATTATTCATAGACGAACGAGCCGGTAAACTTTGACTCTTGCCAGGCGGTGGGGCGGCGCTGGTTGAATAGAAGCAGAGCAATTAATTTTATTAATAAAGAAAGGCAGTGTTTTAACAACTTAGCCATAACATTTGAGTGCAACTTACCCAACACAGTAGTAGCAACCGGGTGAGCCCGGCGATGAGGACAAGGAATTCAGGCAACCAATCGAATTTTTGCGACGATTACTCTTCACATGCATTGTCTTGCTTGCAATTGCCTGTGTCAACTGTTCTGCATCGAATTGACAACTCTGCGTTGAGCGTGTGCTGTCCTTGCGAGGACGCATATAGGAAATGGTAGCAGCGCCATCATGGCTACCGTCACGCCCACATGAGTAACGTTTTTTCGAATTGCGTAAACCAGTTGAGTGTTGTTGTTGTGGTTGTTGCCCACAATTGCTCATCGAATTAGTGTACTTGTCACGTTGTGGCTGCTGCTGCTGCTGTGAATTTGATTGTTGTTGCTGTTGCGCAAGGTGTTGGTGATGATTGTTAGAGATGTATGTTGGTGGTGGTGCCATATAACTGTTGCCACCATTGGAATGAGTCTCACGACGGGGTGAATCTTCACGTAAATTCTTATAGATATATTCCTCGCCCAACTGCAATCAAGCGGAATAGCGTGAAGGTATTATTCCAAAAACAATGAGTGTATTAAAAATATAAAATACAACCTAACAGTTGCTACTCACTTCAACGTAACGCAAACTATCCGATGATAAATCTCTAGAGATTTCTGAGTAACGCATCATGGCATGTGGGTAGGTGTGAAATACATGCGGAGGACGACTGCGGACTGCAGTGGGACGTCAACGTCGTGCAAAAACAATGCCCGTAAATACACTCTGCCGTACGAAATTATATGGTCTGCTGTAATTCAAGGAAGTGACACGTTGAGCTGCTTTCTTTTGTTCGTTCCGCTGATGCAATCACGTAGAGAGTGAAATCACTCAGGCGAAAAGGATTGGCTGCAAAAAAGGGAGCAAATATAATTCAATTTAGTTAACGAAATAAGCAGGATTTTTTGCGTTAAATGTTGAAATTTTAGCAATAATATTAAAAATTATTAAAATTAAATAAAATATAATAAGTAACTAAAATTCATTGGACTGAAAGAAAAAATAAAATAAATTAAAAAATTATTAAATAAATCAAAAAAAGTTAAATGAAATAAATAAAATTTTAAAACTTAAATTAAAAAAATAAATTTAGAAAAGAACAGATAAAATAAAAAACAATAATAAAATAAATAATAAACACAAACCCAGTGAAATGAAATAAAAATTAGTATATAAATCAAGAGAAGCAGAAACAACAGAATTTAACTTTGTTAAAAATAATAAAACAATAAAAAAAACTTATGAATAAAAAAATCATATGATTAAATAAAATATGTTAAATATAACATAAAGGGTGATCCATTTCGAGGCTACTTTTTCAAAGAAAAGAATTCAAAATTTAATGGAGAATGTTTATTATCATTCGAAAGAACATTCCTTGGTATTTATTTTCTGAAGATTATCTCTTCCAAATGTTGCCCGCGGCTACGTCTCAGATGGCTCAGGCGTAGAGTCCAATTTTCGATGACTATTTCGAGCATTTCAACAGGTAACTGGGGAATGACACGCTTGAATCGAATTGGGATTGTTGGCACAGGCATAGACTTTACATGCCCCCACAGGAAAAAATGCAACGGTGTGATATTTCACTATCTTGGAGGCCAATCGACCGGCCCGAAACTTGAAATTATCTGATCCCCAAAGTGATCATTTGATCCATTGATTGAGGCGATGTGTGTGAAGTGCCGCCCTCTTGTTGAAACCAAATGCCGCCGAGATCACGAGCTCTGAATTCAGGCACCAAATAGTCGGTTGTCATAGCACGTTAACGGTCGCCTTGACGGTTACCTTCTCACCGGCATCATTTTCGAAGAAATATAGTTGCGCCGGCCCACAACTCAACCGTTATTTTTCTGGATGAAATGGTAGCTCTTGAATCTCTTCAGGTTTTTCTTCGTTCCAAATGCGGCAATTTTCTTTGCTTACATACCCATTGAGTCAGAAATGGCCCTCATCGCTGAACAAAATTTGGCTCGAAAACTTCGGATCTTCTTGAAACTTTTCAAGAGCCCATGAAGCGAAGCGATATCGTTTTGTAGGATCGAGCGGCTTCAGTTTTTGCACAAGCTGTATTTTGTACGCTTTCAATTTAAGATCTCGGCGTAAAATGCGCTAAATCGTTCCATCATACGTCGGTTCGAGTGGGTGCGAGCGGCGCCGAACCGGCTCTCCTTCGTGTACACTCTCAGCTAAGGCCGTTATATTTTCCTCACTGCATTGTAAACGGTGCACCGGTGTAAGTCTTTCCATGATGAAATTCCAAACAATAGTGAACAAAAATAATATGCCGCTATTGAAAAAAGTACCCCTAATAGGCTCACCCGATATGTATGAAAAACTGAATATTGTATATAATAAAATAAAAAAAATGTTATAAGTAATGAAAAGGTTTAATAAACAATTTGAAATTCTTGAATAATTATGAAGTTAATTCGCTACAATTGGGAATCAGCTGAGCTGTTAGCTTCTCGATAATGAACATTTATGTAATTCTTTGTTAAATTATAGGAACCTTTAAACCCTCCTATTTAGCTCACTGCTGAAATTTATGCACCACATATTTGCATTTTTTCACATTTTTAATCTCATTTCTTCGCGTTGACAATTTTCGCGCTTCACTTTAAAAGTTCATTGCAGCTGTGCAGGGCAAGTGCGAATATTTAACGACCAAACACACATAGAGTCGGCGGCGATAATAAATTCTGACTTGGAACAGACGGGGACAGCGCGTTGCCGCAGAGTAAGAAATACGCAAACGAACCGCTTGCAGCGGAAGCAGAAATAAATAATTTTTTTTTTCTTTACATAAAAAAAAATCAAAAAAGAGTACAGAACTCACAATTTATGCGCATATCATACAATGTGGTAGCATTTAAATGCACATAGTAAATAAGCATGCCCATAATAAGTCTGTGTGTATGTGCACCCATGTCCAGTGACTTATGTGATAAGCTTAATTCATACTTTTCCTCAAACTGATATTGATTGTCGGAGACAAGCAAAAAGCATTTATTTACATCTTGTTGATTCAAAATAAATTTTTTTCTTATAATTGTGTCAGTACAGTTAATTTAAATTAAGTGTGTATGTACTGCGCAAATGCGTAAAAATAAGAACAAAGCAAATTATGGAAATCCCTCAAAATAGTGAGAACTGAAAACAAAGAACTTTTAAATGAGATTAAAATAATAAGATGCCTGTATGTAGGTACGATGTGATGTGTTATTCGCCAAATGATAATTCCTAAAAAAAAAAAAAAAAAAAAACGGTAAAATTACAAAAAATATTGCACAATTAAACCAAAATAATTTATATGGCTGCTGAAAAAACCGATTAAATTCGAATTGTTCCCGCGTTAATCGGGAAATTAAATTCAAAACTCTAAACGAATCACAATGCCGACAATCTCCAATCATCACCAGTAAGAGAAGAAGCACGAATAACCTTTCCCCCTCCATAAATTTAAGAAAAACAACAATTATTTGCATTTCTTTATTTTATTGACTTGCCACGATACACCCTTCATAAATGAACAACTATTTAACTAGTATGAAGCTGATGCGTAGTCAGACAATTGACAGTTCGCTGCGTTGAAAATACCAGTTGCTAATATGGGAAAAATATATATATAAAGTTTGATTTTTTAGCTATTATTTTTTGGCAACTCTGGTTTAAGCAGCTGACGCAAGTTTCGCGTTTTGTATCACACTCAAACATCTTCAGTTTGGTCTATAATTTAATCAAGAATCGTCTTACAAACAAATAACGCTTGGTGCTTTCTATGGGCTGGTGGCTTCACTGTGAATGGTCAGCGCTACTGTGAGATGATATGAGAGCTTGACTTGTATGACATGTGTTGTCAACAAGACGGTGCCACCTGCCACACAGCAAGCGTAACAATGGACTTATTGAGAGGCGATTTCGGTGAACATTTCATTTCACGTACGGGACCGGTCAGTTAGCCGCCCAAATCGTGCGATTTAAGGCCTTTAGACCATTTTTTGTGGGGCTATGTTAAATCTATTGTCTATACAGACAAGCCCGCTTCAATTGACCCATTGGAGAACAACATTGAAGCATTTATTCGTGAGATACCGGCCGAAATGTTGGAAAGAGTATGCCAAAATTGGACTAAGCGGATGGACCATTTGAGGCGCAGTCACGGTCAACATTTCCATGTAATAATCTTCAAACATTAAATTATATGAACCGTAATATCGATTCAAATAAAGATTTCATGCATTTTTCTGAATTTTTTTGTTTGTTTACAATGTATAATTCGCACTTTGCTGAAGCGATTTGGCCGAGCTCTTCCTCCAATTTGTGGTTTTGCGTCTTGATGTTTTTCCAAAAAATTTAGGGACCTACGGTTTATACTAAGCCACCCCGGAACGGCTGTTAAGGTGCTTTTATTTAATGTCAGAAATACACTCGGAGGGGTGGGCATTCCCTGCCGAGGGACGCCCGAAATTAGAAAATTTAACTTAATTTTCTATTTAAACTTAATTTCTATAACTTTTTTGGATATTAGTACGATACCAGGTCTTGAACCCCAGCCTTCCGCAGTACACATTGCTAACCACTCGGCTACTGCGATCGTAGATGAACTAGCTTATATAAAAATACAAACTAATTGGACTCTAGTTAACAACTAGTATTTTTCCTACAATGGAAAATCGAAAAGGCGATAGTTTAAAATTGCTACTTTCGAGCATTCGAAGTTATGAAACAAGTTTTCAAGTGTAAGTTTTCCCAATTGTAGAAACAAAATTTTGGCTTAAACTTTGTTACTGATGCTAATTTATTAAATTTTTTTTTTTCAATTTAGTCTCTTTATGCATACATAACATGGGTCAATAAACTCAGCAATAATTATTAAAAATAGTTAGCTATTACATATACACCCAAAAATTTGTCACAAAACCAAAAAAAAAATCAAATAGATAGCCAAAATTTATTGACAAAAGCTTACCACTCCCATAACACGTGCAACATTAAAATAACGCGCCTTTTTCATCTGGCACCTGATAATACGCCTTTTTTATTATAATTTTTATAAATATTTACAATGGATAAATAGACATAAAATACGAAAAATACTCATGTAAGTATAATTATTTACATTTATACATACATACGTGTATGTAGCTTTAACTAATATAGTAAATACATACTTCTGACCCATGCCATCCGCCATAAAATGTAAAAAAATTGCGCTTATTTTTTCGGCTCTCTAATTTTGTACACAACTTCCGGCACGCGTACGATCCGAAATAAACCAACAAATATAAAAATTATAGAAAATTGCCAAGCTAATGTTCCGAGCCATTAAAGGTGGCCGAAAGGCGATGAGAAACAATGAATGGTAAAAGTAAACTTAAACAAAATAGCAATTACACTGGTAAACACTGTTTTTATCACACGAACTTTTTGTAGATTTCTGTTTACGTCAGGCCATTTTACAATTGCATTCAATTAACTTACGTTGTATTTGAGTTAATTACTCTGAATATGGGGAGAGAGAGTGTTCTACCAACCCCAATAGTTTGTGTTATGAGCGAGGGTTCTTATGTTCGCGGGAATAGCGGGTGTTAGGGTGGTGATTAGGCTCTTTATGCTCGTAATATCTTCATTGATATATAATCAGTTTAAATACAAGGCCTTATTGTTTATTTAAACAAAAAAGGGAGTCTCTTGAAGATAACCCGACACCGGTGAGTGGAATAGCGGCGACCACAACAGAATTTATTTAAATAGTTGATGTCGGTCATGTGTTACAATTACTTTTAAATCACTGCTTAATAATCTAGGCGTGACTAAGGCCAGCGCAAAATGGGTACCGAGAATGC